ATATATATATATATATATATATATATATATATGTATATGTGTGTGTGATATAAGGTTGGGGCACACACATATCTATTCATATGCATAAGCACACACATACAGATGGCCCTTGGTTTAACAATTTTTGAACTTAACCATAGTGTGAAAGGGTGCCCTTAAAATCTTTTTCTTTGTCACTTAGTGTTTAGCACATTACATGATATTCAATACTTTATTATAAAATAGGCTTTGTGTTAGATGGTTTTTCCTAACTGTGGGCCGATGTAAGTGTTCTAAATATGTTTAAGGTAGGCAAGGCTAAGCTGTGATGTTTGGTAGGTTAGGTGTCTTAATGTATTTTTTTCTTACATTTTCAAGTTACAATGGGTCATCTGGTCATAACCCCATCATAAGCGGAGGAGTATCTGTATAGCTTTTAGGACAACTGCATCCTTAGTTATTTCATTGCCACGTATCTCAGTTCCCTTATCCAGCCTTAGCACTGTTAAAAGTCCTCCTCAGGCTGGGGATGTGGCTCAAGCGGTAGCGCGCTCGCCTGGCATGCGTGCGGCCCGGGTTCGATCCTCAGCACCACATACAAATAAAGATGTTGTGTCCGCCGATAACTAAAAAATAAAATATTAAAAAAAAAAAAAAAAGTCCTCCTCTTTCAGCACAGCTTGGCACTGTTCTAGGCTGTAGAGGTGGGGTCAGTGGTAGGCTGGGATGATCCTGGAGAGTGTGTTTGGCGGGTGGCTGGTTCAGGGCCATGCCGGGCAGTCCTCCCTGCTTCTCCCATGCTCACTGGCCCCGTGCTTTCCCTCTCCCCTGCAGATGTCCATGAAGGAGGTGGGTGATGGCTTACAGGATCAGATGAACTGCATGATGGGTGCTCTGCAAGAACTGAAACTCCTACAGGTGCAGACAGCATTGGAACAGTTGGAGATCTCTGGAGGGGATCCTGTCCCAGGCTTCCCAGAAAGCCCCCCGACCCAGTCCAAGCACCTTCACTGGGAGGGTGGCAGAGGTCCTGCCAGACCTGGATCCTGCTCCCCATCCAGCCAACCTTCTCCCGGCAGCAGCACCAAATTTCCATACCATAGGAGTATCTGCGTTAGGGATCTCGCCCCCTTGCCCAGGACACAGCTGCCGAAGCACCAAAGCTGTGCCCAGCAGGGGCCAGAGCGAGTGGAACCAGATGACTGGACCTCCACATTGATGTCGCGGGGCAGAAATCGGCAGCCTCTGGTGTTAGGGGACAATGTGTTTGCAGACCTGGTGGGCAACTGGCTCGACCTGCCAGAACTGGAGAAGGTCGGGGAGAAGGATGAGCCGGAGAGGGAAGAAGAGCACAAAGGAGACAAAGGCCGGCCTCGGGAGCTGGGCCACAAATTTGCCCTAACAGCAAACATCTTTAGGAAGTTTTTGCGAAGTGTGAGGCCGGACCGTGACCGGCTGCTGAAGGAGAAGCCAGGCTGGGTGACACCCATGGTCTCCGAGTCGAGAGCAGGACGTTCTCAGAAGGTCAAGAAGCGGAGCCATTCCAAGGGCTCTGGACGTTTCTTCTTCCCGAGTACAGGGGAGTCCAGACAAGGGGAGACTCCCCCGACGAGTAGCCCCAAGGCCATGGATCCCTCTCCCACGGGTTTTGATATTAACACAGCTGTTTGGGTCTGAACACCAGAGACCAAAAATTGGCTGAACCTAAAAGGTTGGGCCCCTAGGGAGGAGGGCGGGAGGGTGGTAAGGCCTTAAGAAGCCCAAATCCAAGTTCCTTTCCCCCAGAAAGGAGGGAGAAGCCAGAGTTCTCAGGCAGAGCTGACCAGAATGCAGCTGGGAGAGGCTGTCACAGGGCTGGCTGGTGGAGGAGGTGAGTTCCTGGAGAGAATGTGGGGGTGTGTGTGTGGGGGGGTCAGTTCAGGGGTTGGAGATGACAGTTGGGGAGGAGCAGGGGAGGAGACCAGAAAATCCCTCTGACATTCCTCCACTGCTCTCAAAGACCTCAGTGGAACATTATGCGTGGAAAAGCTCACTGGGGCCGCAGGTGCCACAGAGACCCCCAATAAAGACCTGTCTTTGGTGCCCCCAACTTTACATCTGTCTGCTTCTGTGGCTTGGCATTGCTGGAAGCAGAGATTGGGGGTCAGAGAAGAGGAAGGCAAATCCCAGGTAGCATTCCTGTTCCATGGATTTCAGCCCATACCTGGATCCTGGTATATGGGCTGAAGGAGGGTAGTGGATGAGGTGTGCCTTCCCATCAGCGCAGGGAAGCAATGAGGGGACATGCCACTGTGGACGCCCTTTGACATCAAGCTCTCTAGTCCCTGGTGCTCACAGGCAGGCAGGCATTTTCCAGTTGAGAAGGCAGCCTACACGGGGGGCTACCTATGGTCCCAGAACACACCGCTGGGAGGTGAGCAGCCAGGCCACTGTGATCTGGATTCACACACTGGCCCCTAACAGCTGTCTGTCGCCCACACCAACAGCCAGCCTCCTGCGCTTGACTCTTGGGGCAGAACAGGTAAATTCACCAGAGAAGGGAGGGCGAGCCCTGGAGAAATTCCCCCTCATTTAAAAAATTCTTAGTCTCACCTGAGGCCCCTTAACTTCCAGCCCACCAGGGGCCTGGGTCTCCCTGCTCACACCCTAGAGTGAAGTTAACCGGAGAGTGAGGGTTCCAGACCACGGTGCAGGGCTTTCTGAAAGCTGCTGGGGTAAGTGGCCCATGGTGAGCCGGCGCCTTGGCCCTCCCACCGGGGCAGGAACGCCCGCTGGCCGCGAGAGGACAATGTGGGTCCCTGTCTGGGCCGAGCAAGCCCAGGAGGGAGAGCCCTCCTTCCCCTCTCCCTCTCCCCTAGGACCCACAGCTCAGCCTGATGGGGTGTGACAGCTGCAATTAGAGGCAAGACGCATTCCCGCCCTCAGAGCATTAACAGCAAATTGGAGAAGAAAAATAACAAGAAAGGCTCTACTGCCAGCAGCCTGGAGCCCCAGGGGGCGGAGATGGAGGGAGAGGCAGGGGGCTCTGAAGTCGTGATTAAGGTCACCCTCAAGTGCCACTCAAATGGTAGATGGTTAGTTTTGGTGGGGTGAGCTATGCGAGGACAGAGAGGCACTTGTTTTGAGCCCGCGCTGTTTACCAGGCAGTGTGCACATCTCTTTCAAGCTTTGAGTCACCCTAGAAAGAATGATCTTCCAGGTACAGCAATGGAGGCTCGTAGTGAGATCATGCAAACTGCCCCGATCATGCTGCTAGCAAAGGAAAAGAACCAGAAATTGAACCAGAGGGTTATTTGGCTCCCAAACCCCTGTTCTTTCCACTCTACACCTTCGTCTGCAGTTTGCCAACAGAGTTCCCTCTTTCTGGGGGGCAGAGCCCACGCATCCTGTTGTCTCCCCAATAAACTCTGACGTTACTCTGTGAAGGGAGGTTGGCTGTGGCTGCCTTTGGTAGTGATGGTTGATGTATGTGTGGGGACAATGTGCACTGATTTGCTGATTCCTGAGAGGAGGGCCACCCAGCACCAGCTGGGTGATGAGAGGATAACACCAGCTCTGAGTCTGGTCTGATTCCATAGGAAACCAAGCCACCTCTTGGCTATTCACCTGTGACTCTTCTATTTTCATGGGCTAGTCATAGTAGTTGAGATCAACTGAGCAAAACTTGATGAATTCCACCCAGTGCCAGCTAGGAACCCAGAACAGCATGATGCAAAGGGCCCAGTGCTGACCTCCAGGGGATCCAGTGGAAAAGGAAGAGGCCAACTCCACCATCAATGAGCCAGAACAGATTCAAAGGACTGAAGACTCATTTTAACTTGGGCCAGAACAAAGGAACTAGGAAGTGACATCTGCTGCCAACATAATTCACAGGTGCCAGGCACCTTTGCCTTTGTGCTATTTCCTTTTCACTACATGCTGGAAGGAGTGCTGTTACTCTTATTTTACACACGGATAGGCTCAGAGAAGTTAAACAACTCGTCAAGATCGCACAGCAGAAAAGCAGAGCTGGGATTCTAACAGTTCCCATTTACTTGCAATCTTGTGCCTTTTACCTTAACCCCCAAACTGTTCCAGAGGTAAATCAAGAACAAAACGTGTCCTCCCCACATATAATGAATGGCATGCCAACTGTGCGGTGGAGGAGTTCTGCCTGGGTCTTGATGTCATGCCCCACCCACTTTCATGCTTTGCTAATCAAAGATTATGGTGATTCATTAACCCACCTGTAATTTTTACTTTTCTGTCACCTTCTGGGCTCCTGCTGCGACAATGATGAGAACTGTTTTGCTGAGGCCAAGTGAAGAAATGAATGGGACTAATCCTAGGGCCTAAGCGATGCTGGAGATCATGGGGACCCGGGGCGGGGTGGATGGAGAGGAGATGGTGAAAGCCAGCAGAGAGAAACTGACAGCTTGATTCTGCCTCTGGGGCTCATTTTGTGGTTAATTAGGACATGCAAATGAACTGGAAGCTCATTTAATACCCTCCCTGGCATACAGCCCCACCCCACACCTGGCCCACTTCCCTGGCAGGTACAGGGGCCCACTGGCCCAGGCATCTGCTCAGGTCTCCACCTGCTTCATGTGGCCCCGTGGCCAGAACCTGTACATGTTTTCTAACCTTAGTGGAACGAAAAGGTCCTTGCTGGGACTGGTGGGACCTGTTCCTTTTTAATCTTTCAGATGGGACCGCTCTCTCCCTGAGGCACTTCCTCTGAACCTCTCCCCTCAGGGTGATCTCTGAACCCAAACTAAGGGAAGCCTGGTTCACTTATGCCCCCGTAGGTAGTGAGCCATCTATCCTCACCACACCCAGCTACTCCCCAGAGGCTTGGGGAAGGGGCTCCTTGTCTTTTCCAAGCCACACCAGCATTTCCTGCAGGGCCCAAGGAAAAAGCAAGACCATAGTCTGTCTCCAGCTTCTCCAAAGCAGCTGTCAATCTGCCTTAGGTGACCTCCCCACCCAGGCATTTAAGGCACCTGTACCAGCACCATGGTATGAGCACTGGATTTGGAGTCAGAGAGATCGGTTTCTGTCACTGTGCACTTGAACACGTTGCTTGACTTCTCTGAGCCTTGTTTCCCTTATCCGTGGAACAGGGGTAAGGCAGGACTTCGGTGGGGTTTAGAGGACACAATGCACCTGGGGGTCACACTCACTGCCTGGAACACAGAAACTCCACCAATACTGCACTGCCCGTTCCCTAGGACAGCACTGAGCATGTGACCCAAGGTGAAATCAAAATAAAGTGTTTTCTCTGAGCCTTGGTCTCTTTGTTAAAAAATGTCTACTGACTCTCATGGCCTCACAGGATTGTGGCAAGGACTGGAGAAGGCCCAGGTGTGGACACGTTTTTGTACATTGTAGAAATATTACCCAGGCGGGCTATGACTCGCTAGTGGCACGTTGGTACTGTACTGTGGAGGAATGATGTATGGGGCATTGGGGTGCAGCAGCTGTCTGGGCCAAGTCGGGGAGAAGGTGTTTGAGGACACGACTGCCTGAGGCTTGACTTACCTATGGACACTGAACCACCCCTGTACCCTGCTGTCCCTCATTGTCAACCTGGGACCTCAATTGGCAGGGGGAGAGCACAATGAGTCAAGTTCTAATGGTTTCAAGGAGAATCCAGCCCCCTGTCTGCTCTCTGCTCCCCAGGTAGGTGCTGTGGCTGTGCTCCCTAAGTCCTCTTCCCTCCTCTGTGAAGCCTGCCCCTCAGGAGAGACTTGAGGCTCTGATGTGCTGGAAAGGCCTAGGCCACGACCTCAAACCGCAGTCATCCCCTTAGGACTACTGATAGGGTGTCTCTTGCCTTACTCTCCCCCCCTGTCCAACCCTTAGAGTAGGAGGAAACCTCTCTCCCAGATTCCCTGATTTTGACAGGACTTACTTCCTGCCATTCCCCAGAGACTCTCCCTCCCATCAGTCCTGACAGGTTCCTCCATTCACCACCTCCAAGCCCCCAATACACACCCACAACTCCAGGAACACGTGGGTGTGGCAAGCCTCACAGTGCAGTCAGCCTTCCCTATGTCCCCACAATAAACTTAAATCCGTGTCCCCTACTGGAGTTCCACTTTCTTCCCTGAACTCTCCCAATGCTGCTCAGAGCACTCCTGTGTTCCTGGGGCCACTGAGGACCATGCCTCTGAACAGAGTTAGGGAAATAATAACCCGATGACGGATTATTACAATGACAATCACTTTATGCTTTCCTTTCCCTGCATCTCGCTCAGGCCTGAGTATAGGTGACAGGATCACTAACTGGATGAGGTTCTGGGTCCAATCCCTGGCTGCCACTGCACAGAAGCCATCTATCCTCACTACACCCTTCTGGCAATGTCCCTCGAAACCATGGCCCCTGTCCAGGGATGTGGAAACCAATGCCAAATACCATCTTCCACGGGCTGCCACCTCTGCTCTTTAGTTCCCAACCTGCTGCTTCCTGTTCTGAGTCCACCCCAATCCAAGGCTGCCTAGTGGGTGTTTGCAGGGAAGCTGTCCTCATCCTCTGCCTTGCTCTCCCTCTGACCTATGGGCCCCTTCCTCACGGCCCCTTCCTCACCTCCCCGACAGGAGGCTATGGCCTGCAGCTGCCAGGAAGTGCTGCTCAGGGTCCAAAAGGATGCAGAGTGCAGGATCTGACTCCATCCTCTCTTCCACTCTGCCCCGGTGTTAGATGCCAGCCCTGCCCAGTGAGCCCCCAGCCTACCTACTCAGCCTTGCTTCCGGACACTCGTCATAACCCATGCCAAGAAAGGTTGCTTTGAGTGCTCCAAGTTTGGATTTTCTCATGTCACTATGTCTTTGCATGCTGTCTCCTGAGGAATCCAATTGCCCCACAATCTCAGGCTGACTTTTATTTGTCTTTCACCACATAGTTTGAAGGCCATTGGTGAAACCCTCCTCACAGGCCTAAACTGTGCCTCTGACCAAACCATAGTATTTACTTTGTGAGTCACTTCTGTTTGCTGCTTCTCCTCGCTGGGCTGGGAGCAACTGCTCGTTCCTCATTTCTGCATCTTTAGCACTGCGCACAGGGCTCCCAAGGTGATCTCGACTCCCAGAGCAAGACGCAGGCCGGGCCCAGCTCTGGCTTCTGCTTCAGGAAGGCCAGCAGGCAAGGCCTCCGCAGCTGCCTCCCAAGGCCTCTTTTCATTCTACTCCACAGCCCATTCCCCAGGAGAGGGCAGGCTGGGACATGGTGACCTCCGGGAACTTTGGTCCCCAGTCTCCCTCTCCAAGCTGTTGTGCACTTCCCTGTTCCCCTGGCCTGCTCATCTGGTTTCTCAGGCCAATTCTATTTTAACGCAGGCTATCTGGGGAGCCTCAGTCCTCACCTCCCACTTAGCTCCCTATCTGTTCCCATTGCTATGCTGTCACTGGGCTGCCCTGAGCTGGGGTCCTTCAGAGCTATGCCTGCTCAGTCCCAAATGGATCCAACTGCCATCCCAGAGGTTACCTGTCTTCAAATGTTTCCCCTCTCTTGGGATGATCCCTTTCCACTGGCCTTCCTGACCTGATCTTTCTCATTTCTTCTGCCAGTATCTGGTCCCAGACTTACCCTGCCCTGAGACCTTTTCTGACTTGCTGGGCTAGGGCCCCACCCTACCAGGGACATTGAGTCTACTAGATTCTCCTCCCCTCATTGTGACTGTTGAGGGACAGGCAGGGCAATGGGGAAGGAAGTTGAGAATTGGGTGTTGGTGCCTTCCACACCTCCAGTCCCACTTCTGGCCACACTCCAGACATTGTCTCCCAACCAGGAGCTGAGCTGCCAGCAAGGCAGCATGTGTACAGCCATTTGTGTAGAAATGATGGGAAAGGGAAGGACATTAGGCAGATTTTTTTTTTTTAAAGTAACAGTTTATTCCAAGTGGGTAGGTAAGCAACTGAATCCCCTGCATCAACTCAGCTCCCTGAGCAGAGCAGTCAAGGCTAGTGTCATCCCAGACCACCTCAATGAACCACTCAACTTCCTTACCCACTACTGGCCAGTGAGCTTGCTCATTATCGAGAGCTCGGGGCCAGACTGGTGTCTGGTGTTGGTGTTGGATCCCTGGGCTGAGGTTCTAAGTTTCTGTTCAGATCAATCATTTATGGGGGCTGGGACTGTGGCTCAGTGGTAGAGCTCTTGCCTAGCATGTGTGAAGCACTGGGTTCGAGCCTCAACACCACATAAAGATAAATAAATAAAGGTATTGTCCATCTACTACTAAAAAATAAAGATTTTTTAAAAAATAAATACATTTTCGTACCAGAAAATAAGGGGTTAGCTTTGCATCAGTGTTTCCAAGGGCCTGAAGGACCCCAAAGCTTATGGCATAGGCTTCAGGATCCTGGTGGGAGTGAAGGGATCCAATATCATCTTTAAACTTTTCCATTAAATGTATCCCCTGCCCATGGAAGACAGGCAGGGGCTAGGCTCTGGTCCCACTATTCTAGTTCCTACTTTTCAAACTGGGAAGACTACATGCTTTGCATTCCCTTAATCCTGGTGGCTCCTTCAAATTCCCAATCCACCAAAGTGGAGAAAGACCTCAGTGACGCCTACGGCTAGAATGACAGGGGGCTACATGAATAAGTATGGCCTGTGCCCTTTCTCTCACCCCCAGGGGATGGCCTGATGGGATCTGGTGGGAAAGTTTGCACCTACCCAACAGGGGTGGATTAAGGAAAAGAGCTCTCTTACTAAGTGTATGTGTGCGTGTACACACACACACACACACACACTTTACAATTTTTAAAAAGATTTTTGTCTGTATGGTCCGCCCACTGTAGCCCAAGCATAGACTGCACATGGTATACAGTAGAAGCACAATAAATGTTTGCTGATAGGCCCGTAAGTCATGCCCTGTTTTGCTGTGTGGGCCCTATGACATTTAGCACAAAATTTGGAAAGGGTTAAGCTTAAAAAAAAATTCTTTGAAAACAACAGTTCAAAAGAGTCACAGCACTGTTTAAAATGGAAAGGTTTATTAAGGATTTTCCTCAAGAGGAACAGCCAGCCTCTTGCTTCTTAAGAGAAGCAATTAGTGGGAAATGTACATCACAACTTGGGCCCAGAACCACAGGAGGCCACTTCTTAACAAGCCCAAAGAATATGCTCCCCATCAATTCCCTTTTAAAGCTATTTATTTCAAAATGCAAAATCCATGTTCCCTTCCTAGAAAACAGAACTAGGCACCCAGTCCAAAGCCTCCCACTGCTCTCAATTAGAATATTTAAGAAGGACAAGGCAATAAATGGACTACACATTCAACTAACCCAAGATAAAACTGCAGTAAGAAAAACCCATGAACAATGTAATATCTGTACTACATTTTCAGGAGTAACTTTCAATTTTGACTTTTTTCTTTTGCAGTACAGGGGATGGATCCAGGGTCTCACCATTCTGGGCAAATATTCTACCATTAAGTCACATCCCAGCTCTTTCAATTTTTTGTTTTGAGGTACGGTCTCAATAAGGTGCTGAGGCTGGCCTGAAACTTGAGATTCTCCTGTCTCAGCCTCTTGAGTAGCTGGAATTACAGGACAATGCTACGAAGCCCAGCTTTAATATTCATACTTCTGGAGATTACACATGCTAATAGCTATGTGGTTTAGGCAGCCTCAAGACTCACAATCATCTCTCTCACTGTAAGATGGGCTCTTTCCATATTTTGAAAAAGCACCCAAACCACTCTACCCTTTTAAATTTGGAGCTAATTCAAGTGGAGCTATTTTAACACATATTTAGAACCTAAATAAGTATAAGACCCAAAGAGAAGGTTGTTTCATAAATTATTTTCCTCCTCCACATTACCTGACAGTTTCTTTGCACTTTGGTTTCAAAAGACATACAATTTATAAAAGCTTCTAACAGTTAATTAGGATTGCTTAGAAAGGAAAATACCATGGTATTCCTTAATTCTTTCTGTCCCTTAGTCCCTAAAACTCAGGCATATGCTCGCTCACTCGCTTTCTCTCTCTCACCCCGCCCCAAACCACACCCCTGTGAGGAGAAAGACGCAAAATATCTTAAATTAGCTAGATACAAAATGCAGAATGTTTTTATTATTATTCATATGTAAAGAATAACTACACACCAAGTCACCTGTTTTAATAAATTCTGTAATAAAATAAAAATATTTCCCCTAAATATTAAGTTTTCCAAGTACATTAACTTCAAAGAATTGACTGTTTCAGTGAGGAGTGAAAGATGACCATTGGTGGTGGCAGATCAAGGTACCAAACAGATATGAGTTCAGAGTTGAGGAAGAAGCGGGCAACACATCAACACCTGCATTTCTCCATTCTGTTTTTTTTTTTTTTTTTTGTGGTGCTAGGGATTGAACCAAGGCCTTTATGCTCACGAGGGAAGAAGCACTCTACCAACTGAGCTATATCCCCAGCCCTGCATTTCTCCATTCTTGAAAGGGGGACTCAAATTCAGTAAGTTATTGTTATCCATATCTTGGATGAATTTGATTTGTGTATCTTTCCTGCCCAACCAGATTGTAAACTCTTGAGGGAGCCTAGATGACTCTGTGAGGAATGCAGTGTGTGTAGAAGAGATGGCTTGAATACTTGCAAGGCTTGTAGCAGTGTTACCGATACTGAAGCTCCCCCTGGTGGAGGGAAAGATTATAGTTAGATTATGTATTCACTTAATCTCTAAACCTAGACTGGGAGCACTAATAAGCCATTAAAGTGGTTTGTTTTTAGTTGGAAAAAGAAAACTATTAAATGTGGCATCAAACCTTCTTTAAATTATATGTTACTCATATAACCAAAGCTATTATACTTTAAATAGCCTCAAATACTAATATGGGTTCTTTCAGTTCCTGGATATTTATCACAGGAGACTTGTGTAATATCCTAGTCTCTTGATTTTTCAGCTACAAAAATACATCTTTCCACTGGAACCAAGACTAAGGAGTTCACATAGGGACAATACAAAAACACACCCTTCTCATTTTCTCCCAGGATGCCTTTCTGGCTTGCTCGGCAACCACAGATTTTCTTGAGATTAACACTGCGTGTCTCTTGATTTCAGCTGGTCTTGCTCTGCTCACCAGTGTGCTTTAAAAAAGCACCTTTTCTTGGTAGTTCCACCTTTAAACCAAGTAGACTGTGTAAGATGTGACAGAGAATCCAACAACAATCATCTTTCTCCTCTATTATTCTAAAGGAGAGGACAGTGAGTTTATGCTACTTGTCAAGCCGACTGAAACTTAAGTCTTATTTAATAATTTGTATTTAATGTAACAAATAATTATACAACCTACGTAACATAGAAAGTTCTCTGGTTTGCATGTTTTTCTATGAAAATGTTTGAGAAGTGTTTAAAGTAGAACTTAAGAGGACTTAAATTAAGAGTATGTCTCTAAGCTGGGAACACGCTCATCTGCGGTCCCAGCTATTTGGGAGGCTGAGGTGGTAGAATCACTTGAGTCCAGGAGTTTGAAGCCAGTATGGGCAACATAGTGAAACCACATTTCAAAAACAAAAAACAAAAACAAAACAAACCTCACTGACCTGAACAAATTGGCCCTAATGTTTCACTGATTTTTAAAATTTATTATATATTTTTTTGCCCCTCAATCACGGACATATGCATAATTGGATCAGAAGAGGGAAGTGTTATTAGGCAACTAAGTTTATTAGAAACTCAAAAAAATACAATTTCCAATTTTTAAAAACAATATTTTTAACATTTTCTCAGGCTGGAAAGAACTTACATTTGAAAGCTGACTTTTAAATGTCAATTCAGTAACTAATGGGCTGACCACACTCCTGGAAAAAAAAATCACAGCAAGGCATGAACATTGTTTCACACCTAGTTGCAATGAGACAGTATCTAGATCCCTGAGCAATGATTTAGACTTTCTAGGACTGATCTCCTCCTTGATATTCAGGGACAAGGCACAGGCTTCCTAAGCTTGTTTCTTTCCTTCTCCAGTACTTCACTGGCTAACAAGCTGTTGGCTCTTTCTTTCTTTATGGAGAACACATAAGCAACATCACCCTGGGTCCATGCCCTACTTAAGCCCCATCTTTTCTAAAAATGGAAATAATTGGGAAGGAAAAGAAAAGCACCACTATATAGCCAGCTAAAATTTTAACTTAGTAATCTTTTTCATATTACTACTACTATACTACTTCATATATAGTCAAAGCAAAAGTAATTAACACATTCTTTTTATGTGTTTTAACTTTCACTTACTTCTCTCAAAATCTTTAATCTATTATAAAGCAAGTTTGAAAGCTTTTACATAACACTTCATTGGTGGACCCACACCCAACAAATTAACAATGGCAAAAAGGATTTCCTTAATAAAATTACAAGCTGTGGAAGATTTGAAATAGTAAAAGTTAAACCCTGATACAGTATTAAACTTATTTCTTTACATATAAAAATAATACACAGTGGGATATTTTATTCAGCAAGATACAATGTTTAAGATCAAGAGAGAATATACAAAACTATTCTATGTAGTCTGATGTATTATACTGTATAGTAGGAATAAATATTATCTGGAACAGGAAGTAGGAGGTCTGTTCCTACAGAAATCACCAGTTAGTATAGTTTAAAGCCAAGAATTCTGCAGATACCAGGCAGAAAGGAGCTACTGTCGCATTTAAAACAATGTGGTCATTATAAAATAAAGTCCTTAAATCTATAAACAATAACAAAAACACACAAACCAAATGAAAATGTACTAAAATTTAATCATCCATAAAAGCTGTAATTTAATCTGACAGTAAAACACAAGAAGCCATATTAGAGTTGGTTTAGTATATTATATATTTTAGCTTTGAAAGCTATAGAAATCAGTTATCCCAGTTTTTCCTATAAAAGACCCATTTTTTCCAAAGCATTATGCACAAACAATTTTAATTAGAATATAATGACAGATGATATCTCATAATTTTTTAAATATAAAATGAAGTCAATGACTCAAAAAAGTTATCTGCTGCAATGAGTTTGAGGGGAAATTTCATAATTGATTATATCATTACAGATATAAAGTATAATGATTCAACTTTTAGTGCTTAACAGGGAGGAATCATGATAAAAAGGTCAATATGAAATCATTTGATTATAGTAGCAATATCTAACATTTGAAATGCATCCATGCTCTTTTGTATAATTGTATTAGAGTCAAGTATATTTATTTTCACATCTGTTATAACTGCTATTGCAAAGGAGAAATGCTATTGTCTTATTTTCCAAGAGATATACACAGAGCAATTTTTTTTTTTTTCTTCAGGGAACTTGTGCAAACCAACATAAGATCTAAATTCTTCACATAATATATAAAACAGGAGAAGCCTCTTCAGATTTATTTTTTGAAGTCTGGAATGCTGGCACTTTCCAAGTAGGCAACAGTTCTTCATTCCTGTAATCTAGAATATTAAACACATACACATACATATGGTTATCTCTAGATGTCAAAATATAGTAGTAATCAAGTAGATATCCAATAACATAGAAAACCATGATCTTAGCCTGGGGATGTAGCTCAATGACAGAATACATGCCTAGTGATGCATAAGACCCTGCGTTTGATCCCCAGCATACATGTGCATGCATGCACACAAAGATACAATGATCCTGGCTGATTATTACTAGATAACTAGTAATAATATAACAGAGCTATTTTGAATTTATTTTTAAAATGTTTTAATGCTGGTGAGTGATACTGGCCAAATTATATTGTTATATTGTGTGCACGTACAAATACGTAACAAGAAATCCCCATTATGTACAACTATAATGCACCAATAAAAAATGTAGAAAGGAAAAAAAGTTTTTAAAAATAATGAAATATAAAAGACTAAACTCAAGAAAGGGAGTCTATAATTGATCAATTTTAGCCTTTCCTTGGTTTCATTATACTTGTTGTATCCTATAGTCCTGTTCATAAAGAGGACAATAGTGACCTTTCCTTTCTATCCCACTTTCATCTTATTTTTAAAATTTCCCTTTCCACTAAGAAAATGACACTTGCCTGCATGAACTTTCCATGAGAAATTTATTCTATTAGTTTACACTTATATACATTAGGATGACCACTTCTAATAAAGGCAGGGCAAGAGATGATACAGAAAAAACCCAAATTCAAGAGTAGAAGAATCAGAAAGTATTATTGCTTACCAGAAGGAAATTACTTTAAAAGAAGAACTCCTTATGACTAATTTCTCTCAGAGGTCTTAAAAAATGGGACGTATAAAAAAAACATTAACATGCTTTATTATGATTCTGTCTAGAGGCTACAGACTAGATAAGCTGCCCTCAAGATTCATATACTCTGTACTAAAAATGTTCAAAATTGTTATTTAAATCTATCCTGTGTCTCAGTACTTTTGAGATAGGATCTTGCTATACTGCTCAGGATAACCTCTAACTCTTGGGTTCAAGCAATCCTTCTGCCTCAGCCTCCTGAGACTGGGACTCCAGTGTGCACACTACCCCTGGCTTCAATTCTTTTAAAAGTACAGGAACAGCATGCATAATGATCACAACAAAATGCACTGCAGAGTAGTCTGACTACTAAGCCACCTATTTGGTATTATTAAACATCCATATTATAAGATAAATTATGTACATAGTCTAAGAATTGATGTAACTTGGATGAAAACCTTATTTCTAGATCTAGGCCAAGATTTCTTTCCTCTAAGGTAAAATTTATAATACACTGTCATACTGTACATGAATGAATTTTTTTTTTTTTTTGAGAGAGAGAGAGAGAGAGAGAGAGAGAACGAATTTTTTTAATGTTTATTTTTTTTTTAGTTATTGGCAGACATAACATCTTTGTATGTGGTGCTGAGGATCGAACCCGGGCCGCACCCATGCCAGGCGAGCGCGCTACCGCTTGAGCCACATCCCCAGCCCCATGAATGAATTTTTAAAGTTATAATATACTAAAGGATGACATCTTTTCCTTTAAACAAACTAAAAGAACATCTTCTTAAATGGAAACTTAAACTAGGATCAACCTAGGTAATGGTGTCAACTACAAAGGAGTGAAACAATGTATTTAAGAACTAAAGTCCTTATCTTTGCACCCTTCCCTGAATACACACAAAAGACAGTAATCTTAACAATAACAACTTCCAGGGAACTGATGAATTAAAGTTATTAAATCAAATTTCACTAAAAGCCTAAAACAACCATTTGGCCCAAAGCCAAAAACCTTAGAGAATTTGAATACATAATTTTTAAATGATAATAATTGATCCTATATAGCCTGGTTTCTCATTTGATAGGCAGCTTTATTAAATACTGTCACTAATTTCCACTGGGTCCACTTAACAAAAACTTAAGTGGTAGCCAGCTATGGTGGCACATGCCTGTAATCCTAGCAACTCAGAAGGCTGAAGCAGGAGGATCACAAATTTCAGGCCAGGATGTTGCTCAGAAATAGAGTGCCTCTGGGTCTAATTCCCTGTGCCCCAAAACTTACATGATACTTAAAGTTAACTACTACTCAGAAGCTTATAGGTAAAACATTTTTTTAGAAAGATATCAACATGGGGCTGGGGATGTGGCTCAAACGGTAGCGCGCTTGCCTGGAATGCGCGGGCGCTGGGTTTGATCCTCAGCACCACATAAAAATAAAATAAAGATGTTGTGTCCACCAAAAACTAAAAAATAAAAAAGGAGAAAGATATCAACATACACCTGAGAGGGAATGACTACCAAAACTATAATAATGTACTACTACACATCCACGAGAATGGCTCAAGTTACAAAGACTGGTAACACCAACTTTGGGGAGGATGTAGAACTCATAAACTGCTGAGGGTGTGTGAACTGGTAAAACCACTTTGAAAAACTTTTTTAGCAGAATCTCCTAAAGTTGTCAACGTATATAGCATATGATCAGGCCACTCCATTCCTAGACATACACATGGACAGAAATGCATGCATATGTCACAAAAAATGTACAAGAATATGCAGGCAGAATTATCCATGCTGATTCCTGAAAAATGCCCTAATGTCTGTCAACAGCAGAATATATAAATATATTACTAACTTAGTCATACAATAAAATATAGTATAACACAATAAAAATGAACTATTGCTACATGCAACATGGGTAATTCTCATGAAAATAGTCAAAAATAAAATAATGTTATATGTTTTTGTTTATGTAAAGTTCAAAGAAGGGCAAAACTAATCCATGGTGTTAGAAATCAGGGCAGGAATACATTTAGGGAAAGTGATCACTACTGATATGTATGGGTGTGTCTGAGATAAACTGATCAGTCATGCACTTTTGTCTTTTTCTTTCAGAGTAATCACTATTTCACTTTAATTCAGCATGAGTTTGGGAATCATCCAGGAAAGTATTCAAGTCCTATTTTTTTTTTTTGCAGGGCTGGGGATTGAATCCAGGGCCTCAGACATGCTAGGCAAGTATTCTACTCTTGAGCTACATCCCCAGCCCCAAGCCCTATTTTTTGAATACCTATTATCCATTAAGATTTTTTTTTTTTTTTTAAATTGGTACTGGGGACTGAACCCAGGGGTGCTTTACCACTGAGCTACATCCTTGGCCCTTTTTATCTTCTGTTTTGAGACAGGGTCTCACTAAATTGCTGAGGCTGGCCTTGAACATGCAATCCTCTTCCCTGAGCCTCTTGAGTTGCTGGGATTACAGGCATGCATGTGATTAATACCCATCCTGCAGCAGGTGCTAGAAACACATTGGTGAGCAATGTGACCTGCTCATCACCCTCTCACAGCTTAGAATTTCATGCAGAAGCTAAATAATCCAACAGATGAATGTGTCTTCAAGGGTATATCACATGTACAAGGCACAGAAGCTCAGAAATACCCAGAATAGGTTAAAAAAAAAAAAAAAAAAAAAAAAAAGTGGGTCAAGTTGGAAAAATTCCAAAAGGAAATGATGAGAAAGGCATTTGTTTTACTTTTAGCATCTTACCTGGCTCAGAGCTGCTGCTGACTTTGGGTCTAGAGCAGCAGGCATGATTTCTTTTTAGGCTTCTTCTTTTCCACTGGTGTTTTTCTATTTATCTGTCTGACCAGGTCATAAAATATCTAAAAAGAAGGAAAAAGTACTTAACCAATATTTGAGACTTCATCCCACAAAGCAATTTTGGTTCTGTTAAATGTTATGCTCTTAGATCTGTATTTTGCAGCTTTGTTTTGAAGTTGAGTTTCTTAGAAGCCCCAGCTGACCCTCAGTTAGGGTAAAGCAGGACTTACCTATTTATTGCTCTCAGACATTCAATATTAAGAACTCGTAGTAAAAACTTTAAAATTAAGAGAAAAGTTGCAAGAATAGTACTGATCCACCAATCAGTAACATTTTGCCACTTAATTTACCATTTTTCTCTCTAAGTATGCACACACTTATTTTTCTCAACCATATAAGAGTAGTCTGTATTCCATAGGTCCCTTATGAATTGAGTGTGTATTTTCTAAGAACAAGAATACTCTCTTTCATAAGTATCTTACAGTTATCACATTCAAGATATTTAAGCATTGATACTTTACTTTGTATTGTCTACAGTACAAACTGCAGTCTCATCAACTATCCCAATAATGTCCTAAAAAGCCACTTTCCCCTCCAGGGATAGAATTAATTCATCCAGGATCACACACTACATTTTGTTTCCTGAATTTTTAGTCTTTTAAAATCAGGAAGAGTTCCTTGGATGCTGCCTTTCAGGGCATTGTCATTTATGAAAAAAAGCTAGTAGAGTCATAAAATTTCCCCTGAATTTGAGTTTGTCTGATATTGGCTAACAATTAGATTTCAGTTATACATTTTTGGGTGAGATAGGAAAAAAAAAAAACAAAACCCAAAACAAAAACAAAACCTGCCTAGCTGGGCATGGTGGCACATGCCTGTAATCCCAATTACTGAGAAAGCTGAGGCAGGAGAATGGCAAGGTCAGCCTGAGTAATTTAGTGACACCCTGTCTCAAAAAGTTCTCATGCCAGGCACAGTGGCACATGCCTGTAATTCCAGCAGCAGCTGGGACAGGCAGCAATGGCGAGGCAGGCGCCAAACAACTCAGAGAGACCCTGTCTCTAAATAAAATACACAACAGGGCTGGGGATGTGGCTCAGTGGTTGAGCGCCCTGAGTTCAATTCCTGGTATCCTCCCCCCTCCAAAAATAAAAATAATATAAAAAGTTCTTGGGGTATAACTCTGTGGAACAGCACTTGAATAGTATTGTGTAAAGTCCTGGATTCAATCCCCAATACAACAATAACAAAACTCCCAAACAAACTGGCTTCAAGGAGCAACACAAGGACAACTGGCAAAATCTGGATATACACCAAACACGAATTATGTTATTATCAATTTTCCTGATATTATTTTTCTTTATTTCTTTTGTGGTGCTGGGGATTGACCCTAGGATGATCTTGAACACGTATGTTGTTAAGTGTTCTACTATGAAGTTACACCCCAGTCAAACTTTCTTGATTTTAATAGTTTTGTTGTGGCTATGTAAGAGAATGTCTTTGATTCAAGGATATACATACTAAAATATTTAGGAATAAATGAATACTATTTTTACAAACCTGTGGCAAAATGTTAATAACTGAAGAATCTGAATAAAAAGTACACAGAAATTTATTATTCTTAGGTCTTTTGAGTACATTTTAAAATTATTGACCTGTATTTAAGATAGTAAGTAGTCACATTTCTTTTAGATGATAAATAATCATCTATTTACTTTTTTAAATGGTCAAAATATTACATTGTTAAAAAGGCAAAAAATATGGAGTGATATATTCCAAAGCTGTAAATAATTTATATTCTTTTCTTTCTGCCCCATCCTCCCCACTCCCATCTTCTTGAAACCACTTAACTATTATTTTATTTCTAAGAAAAACACAGAATTGATGAATAAAATGGTAGTTGATTTTACAACTCCAAAATTCAAGCTGTTTTCAACTCCGAAGTCTTCAAGAACTTAACATGCATAAGCCATGAATGAGCTCTCATTAGTTCCTGAGGCTCAAGTGTAAACTATAATATGAAAAATAATAAAATGGTAAACCACAACATTAAGTCATTAAACATATGTGTAGTTTCTATTTCAGTTTCTTCATGCCAGTCAGTTTCCAGACTCTGGCACATATTATACACAAAGGTAACTAATTTTTGTAGTATTATTTTAAGTTATTTCTTTGGAAAACATTGCCTACCTCACAGCAGCAGATGGTTCAGTGATGAGGACAAGTTCGAACTATAATATTTGGTTAGAAATGCTGAAAGTCCCCAGCCTAGGTTCTTCCTCATCTCTCTGAACTAAATCTAAAGGGAACACAGAATAAAGTTTCTCAATCCCTCTCCCATTCCTAAATTGGGACGTCTTGATTCCAATTATTACTCCAGCTTCAGCAAAGAACAATTAATTCTTGATTAGGATTGATGTGGTTCGGGAATAGCTACATACTACATTTAGAACACAAAAAGTGGTGTGGAAAAGAGTTTAAAAAAATCAGAAAATTAGAGAGCTTAGCCAAGCAGTATGTCCTTGTCTAGTTAAGGCCAAGAGTTGAATCTTATGAAAGTATTATCCTTCTATCTTCAGGCATTTGGAATCATACAAACATTTATAAGACAGCTTAAGCCATCTGAGAAACTATGAACTATCAAAGGAATCCTGTTGCTGGATTATTAGGATATGAAGAGAGAAACGAGAGAGAGAGAGAGAGAGAGAGAGAGAGAGAGAGAGAGAGATATCCCAAATTATACTCACAAGAATTTCTAGCATAAAGTTTAAATTTAAAAAGTAAAAATTCTTATAAAATGGCTAGTGCCTTTTATTTTGTTTTATTGTTTTTTGACCTTTGTTTTATAAACCTTCACTTCAAGGGTTGACTTTAACAAGACTGCTGTGAAAAACTAGTTTGCTACATTGAAACTGCATGCAATGACAAAAGATGAGGAACAGTTCCCCGCTGTACTGTGGCTCTCACTGGAAGAGGCCCTGTGTGCTGGACCCTGGCCCAACTAAGCACCAGAACTCAATGAAGCTGGGGGTGGGAACCAGTGAGGGTAAGGTCAGGGACAGTAAGGAATGGATCCTTAAACCAACAATCCTACAAAAGTTGACCTTATACCACTGTTTCACTAACCAAGTAAATTTACCAGTCTTAATGTGTTATTTATCAAAGTTACTTTTTCTTTCTTTTACATAAAATTGCAATAAAAGTTAGAATTTTATCATACTACATTTTTCAAAATAACCTTTAGGAAATTATAATTCTACAGTACAGAAAGTTAAAGCTGGATATATTATCAAATTTCCTTTCATTTACTTGGCAGTGAATAAGAAACATCTGTCATTGAAGAACTCAGCAGGACTTGTTCCCCTTACTAGGAGGTAAACTTCTTAGGGTGGGAATAGTGTCAGTCTGGATGACTATTACCTAGGTGCCTACTGTAGTGCCAAGAACACAGTAGGTATTCAATAAATATTTGCTGAATAAATGGAACTTAAAACTTTCTTGTTTTCATACTCATTAAAAATGGTTTCACCTGCCAGGTGTAGTAGCAGATGCCTATAATCCCAGTGACTCAGGAGGCTGAGGCAGGAGGATTGCAAATTTAAGGCCAACCTGGGCAAATTAGTGAGACCCTGTCTCAAAAAAAAAAAAAAAAAAGTTTCATCTAAAAAAGCAAGCTTGCCTTTTCTTCTTCTTTTTCAGTACTGGGATTAGACCTGGGGTTCTCTGCTACTAAGCAATATCCCCAACCCTTTTTATTTTAGACATGGTCTCATTAAATTGTCAAGACTGGCCTTGAATCTGTGATTCTCCTACTTAGCCTTCCAAGTCACTGGGATTACAGGTATGTACCACCACACCCAGCTGGCATTCTTAATTATTTTAAGAAACAGGAGTAAGTGAGTATGTTGAAATTTTTTTCCCTGCCAGGTATTTAAAGTAATTTTGTTGCTTTGAAAGTCAGATAATAGTCTAGAAGTATAATATTAGTAAAAAAAAAAAAGTGACCTCAAGAATCACAGACCAGAGAGAGAAACAGCAAGCAAAAACACAGAGCTCAGATAATACCTTCTCTTATTCTTTTGTTTTGTTTTGTTACCAGGAGTTGAACTCAGGGGCACTCAACCACTGAGCCACATCCCCAGTCCTATTTTGTATTTCATTTAGAAACAGGGTCTCACTGAGTTGCTTGGTGCCTTACTTAGTGGCTGAGGCTGGCTTTGAACTAAATCCTCCTGTCTCAGCCTCCCAAGTCACTGGGATTACAGGCGTATGCCACCTTGCCTGGCACGTTCTCTTATTGTTAGTCTGTGTTTTAAGTGATCTGAATTCTGACTAACTGTGATGCTACAAATGGCAAGCAAACAAGAAAGGAAAGGAAAGGAGGACCCTCTGTTGTTGCTGTTTTAAAAATGTTTGTGGTAAAGTTAAGAAAAGCAAATGGAATTACTTAAGTTTTTGTTTGATTAGTGGAGATTAGTTGAGAATTGTACTGATTTTCTCAGGGAATCAGTAAAGTTGGTCCTTTATAAAGAGCCAGGCACCCAGGCACATAGCTTACTTGCTAAAGCACTCTAGCCCACAGTTATATTCAAGAAAGCAGAGTCCTTAATTCAGGAACCAAAAAGAGCCTTGTGCACTTGCTGTATCAGGCATAAAGGACAGTAAATTCTAGTGACACATCTATCCTCATAGATTCCCCACTTTTCTGCATGCACTAAAGGCAAAGCATCAAATTCTGTGGTAGTGAAGGTTCATTATAACAACTTTGATTCTGTACTATCCTACTTGACTTTACAGTCTATTTACATGCATCTGGATAGATAATTGTTACAACATAAGGGTATTGTGACAATTTTCACACACCACTTTCTGACATATTATTTAAAGGCTTAACAGATCCTCATACATATTCTTTAATTTTAACAGCCTTTTTGACAATAAGATAAATTTAAGTATCCTCATTACTGCTATCAAAGTGACCTTATGCAATCTAAGAAATATAGTTGCTAGGAATTACTTAGTATTTTCTATAAAGTGATGCAATCAATATTGCTCCAAAATTTTTTCTTAAAAAAAAAAAAAAAAGATGGTTGTTAAAGAAAACTAGAAAGGCATATGTTTGTACTGTCCAGTAGTTGTAGTTACCTCATTAACGTTGATCTTTGACTTTGCAGAAGATTCTAAAAAGGCACAGTTACACCACTGTCTTGCTAAATTCTGGCCCTGTTCTTTGCCAACTACTCGCTCATCTTCCAGGTCACATTTATTGCCAACCAAAATCATTGGAACCTGTACGAAGGAAAAAAGAAATGAGCAACAACATACTCATTACTTAGCCTCTTTATAAATAAGCAATTGCCATCAAATGAAATGTGTTAGAACTTCACCAATTTCTTAAAAAATGGTACTATACAGTATCTTTGTATGTTTGGGTGGAGGAGCAGAAAATAGAATGAGAGGGAAAAGATAAAAAAAAAATGGAAGAGATCCTATTAGATTCATGTTAAGTTACTTTAAGAATACATCCCAAAATTCTCATGGGGACTACTGTATATAGCTGAATTTGAAGTAGAAAAGTCTGAAGGAAAAGGAACCTTCTGCACTAGAGAAGAATGTATGCACTAGGTCTATGTAACTTAAATGCTTCATCAAACAGGTCTAATAAATGCTAAAAGTAGTGACAAGACCAACATAGTAATAGCTTCTACTTCTACATTTGACATCTAGATTTGAAGATTATTCAAGTGCTATATTAAAGTGGTGTATTAACAATGAAAATAAAGCCACAAAGCAATTATGTTTTCCATTTTCCTCCATATCATAGATGATGCTAGGCTATATCTACCCACAACTTCCTACTTCCAGTAAAAAAGTAACTAACATGCTGTTAACTTCCTCAGTGAAGGTGTTCAAAGAATAGTCTTTGTGAGTTGGTGGACACTATACAAAAGAAAGAATTTAAGAGACACAGTGGACCTTCTACCTAAAATAGGTAATTGTCAACAGTCAGACTAAATGCACTAGGCTCTACAGCTCCATCTTTTTTCTTTTATTACATGGGGTAAAGGGATTAACATTACCAGAGCTCATTGCCTATGAAAACAGAACTCTCTTAGATAAAGCAGTCATGGGAAAGAAAAAAACTATTCATTAGGTTATGAGCGGTCACGAGACATATGGTGTAAATCCCTCCCACCTATAACATTACCAAGGTTAAGGTTCTGTTTTCTCTGATAATTAGAGAAGACACAGAGACAGAAAGGTACAACTGAAAATTTATACCCTAATTTATACTACTGAAAACAAATTCTCTTTATCTCATAACAATAGTAAACAAGTAAAATATATATTTTACTTTTGCAAAAGAAAAAAAGATACACACCACCAACAAAATGCTATCCTTGATTTCTAAAGCAAAACTAAAAACTTCTAAAATCCAGTTAATTAAAATCTTTAACATAATTCAAAGGGAAAAGTGCATGTAAATAAAAACTATACAAACAGAATTTCAGAATTAGAAACATGTTTCTTGAACCCTATTTTTGACATAATAAAGCTCAACTTGAGACCCACTCTATGAATTACTTTTGACTTCTCTTCTTCCTCCACTATACTTTTTATTCCACACAGTACAAGTTCTTTATCCTCATTTTTTAAACATCTCAGCATATTATTTGTAGGTTAATTTGGAAAGTTAAAATTTATTTTGGTCATAGGGGCTCTTCTTGGCATGTGGTAGATTCCTTCCAAATCAGCTACTGATGAGAAATCAGACACCTTATTTGGCCACAGAGAGATGGCAGCATATAAAAGAAAAATACTTACATCTTCTGTATCCTTAACCCGTAAAATCTGTTCCCTCAAGTCCTGTAAGTCATTAAATGTGGACTGAGCTGTAATAGAATATACTAGTGCGAATCCTTGGCCATTCTTCATATATAAATCCCTCATCGCTGTAAACTGCTCCTATAATTAAAAAAAATCCAATTATAAATATATAATTTTTTATTGTAAACTGGAATATTCAAACAGAACAATCACAAGTGAGCTTCCACATTTTTAACATGCTTTCATGACAGAAAACATAATACATATTTCTAGCAATTCTGAGGTAAATGCTCCTGCTCCCTACTTAGGGACTAGAAACAATGACAACAAACTATAGAATTAGAAGTCTTTTTTTTTTTTGAGATGGGTTCTAAACATGCTGTCTAGACTGGCCCTGAACTTGCAATCCTCCTATCTCTCCCTCCCAAGTAGAAGGAATTCTAAACTACCTCCATCTGCTTTTTAGGAAAAAGAAATTCTTTTTTGCATATGCAAATCCTATTGAGTTTACTGTTTGGAAAATTTATAGTAAAACTGCTACTCAAGTAGAAAAAAATCTGAGGCACAAATAGACTACTAAACTATAACTTAGTCATCCAGCATAGTCTCAATATCTCTAGTGACAAATTTTATCACTTTTATCTGTTTTTGGTGGTACTAGAGCTAAAACTCAGGGCATACTCTACTCCTAAGCTACACTCCCCAGTCCTACTCTTTTTATAAGAGTCATTTATGTATTTTTATTACCCTCCTCATTTCAAACCTTTTGAAAAGAGATGACAATAGTGATTATCTCCTTCAGTTAGATTCATTAGTTGGTAACATTTTAGTCACCCAGCTATAGTCACATCAAATTAAAATTACTTTTGTTTAAATTTTAAATCCACTTCTTTTTTGGTAACAATTGTTGCTTTATGTTAATTATATATATTAAATAAGAGATAGTCTTTAAAAATTAAGGTACATAGAGCAGAATATTAAAAATGCATATATGTTGGGTCTTCATTACTGCACATTTTGGATCTTCCTATCTCTGGAAGCATTAAACATAAGGCTAGGTTATAAGATTCTGTGAGCTTTTTGCTTCCTTGGCTTGCTGGTTTCCCATGATTACACGCGCTATTTTGTCTACTACATCTGAAATATTTCTAGTTCCACCCAGTCTGATGCACTCAATTCTATTCCACGTGTCTGTGCTGTCACAGGACTATGACTGAACTTCCTACACTGCCATCAGTGCATCTTCTGGGAAAGATGTAAAAAGTTTTTTTCTGGATTTTCATTAATACTTTGTTATAAATTCTAGCATTACTATCCCTACCATATTCTCTTTAGATCATGGTCTCTGTTACTTATTAATCAAAAGAGTAAACACATAAATAAGTTTCTGTCCTTACAGAACTGCTATGGTTGGTATTACTTCCCACTGAGAATCCTAACCTCCTTCCTAAGGACAGTCTAGATGATTAACTCATTAAACAATTATCCACAGAGAGCCCTCTACAAGACAGACATTGTTGCAATCCTAGAATATGTTGGTAAATGAGAAGCAAAAGTCTCTGGAGGAGTCTTCAGAGACTGACTAAACATACAAACAAACAAATAAATAAAAATTTAAAAAGTATCAAGTACACCAGATGGTAATAAATGTTACAGAGAAAAACAAAGCTGGGGAGGGGGACAAGGAGTTTCTCTAGAGAGTAGGAATGCAAGGTCATGTACTAAAGGAAAGGGCTAACAGGTAACACAAAGAAGGTCACAAAGGTGAGGAAGTAAGCTCTTTCGGATATAAGAAGAAAGAGTGTCCTAGGCAAATGGAATAGCAAATGCACAGGCCTGAAGGAAAACATATACAGTATTTGAGAAGTTGTAGGAGGCTGGATTCATTGAATCTGTTAACTAGTGTGCATGGGAGGTAGGGCCAGGAAGGGAAATGCCTACCTTAACTAAAATTTTGATTTAAAATAATCGTTTTTTTTTTTAAGCACTGATAACATACTCCTCACTTCAATACAAGGAGAGGAAAGTCAAAACACATATTCTGCAGGTGAACTCAAAATGCAATTTAATCATAGTATGTGGGCATTATGTATTGCTGGGAGCCATTAGCCAAGTAGGTATGACAATTTCCTTGCCAGCGTACCCCATGTTGCTTAGTGGAAGGACTTGTGGAAATAGGACATTTTGCAGTGACATTGCATCTAAGGTGACCTTGCTCAAGGACCAGGGTGGATCCGGGTTTAGGGCGTTCGGGTTTAGGACTATCCGGGTTTAGGGTGGTTCCAGGTTTAAGGTTATTCCTGCTGGGAATAGGGCGTATCCTGCTGCCTGAGTTCCCCTTGAGTTCTCACGGGATTCAGACAGTATTTTTTGGGAGACAGAAGCCCAGTGGGGGTGAATTTGGGCAGAGAACGTGGATTTCCCCAGAACGTGATTGTAGACGGCTGGTGTGAGTTCGGGGAATAAAGAGTTGCTGTTTGAATCTACAAGCTGTGTGGTGGCTCGTGATTTTGTGCCCAGCCAGACTGCGGCAATGTATATCACAAATTATTTTATATAGCTAAGAAAATTTAAGAAGCCCTACATTCAGAGAATTCCCTCTCTCAAAAAAAAAAAAAAAAAAAAAAAATCAGAATGATTACTTTCTATTCAGATGAGAAAAATCCTGCTCTCAAATTAAAATATGCTTGGGGGAGGGGGGAGTCCTTACTGTTCCTGCTGTGTCCAGGATTTCCAGCATACACTGTTGGCAATCTACTTCAACTTGCTGTTGGTAGTAAAAAGAAGAAAAAGTTAAAAAGCAACATCAAAAGTTCATTTTATTTTTCTTCCACCCCTTCACCCAAAGTACCAACTAACAACTACAAAGCATTTTTCCAGCAGTGTGCTATACTGGCTGGGACTACATTTGGTACCATATAAAGAACAGGGGTCTTAAAGCACATTCTGGCAAAATGGTTAATATTAAGTGTGGATATTTTCTGACCATGATAATGATGTTTATTCGTTCTTAGGAAAATGGTATATTTTGGAATTAAAAAAAACTTCGAACAAATACAGTTCTAACAGAAAAAAAAAATGCATATAGTATGAATATTCACATTCAGAGAAAATAAAGTATCATTAAATGGCTCAAAATGAATGAGATTTTGAGGTAAAGAAAATTTGCATCAAGTATATCTAAAAACAACAAATCTAAAAAGAACAAATTTAAAAAAAAAGGAAATTTGCAAACTCACTATATTCAAGTTCCTAAAATTTTAACTAAGGTATTCACAAAATCTAAGATAAAAGGCAAACTCAGAAGTGTCAAATAGCACTGAGTTTAAGCATTCCTCAAGACTTAAGAAGGTCTCTTCATTAGAAAAACACTGTTAAGGTGAAATTTCATATTCTGAATTCCATTTTCCTGCTGTCTTATAAAAGAGGAGGAGGTTGGCCTAAAGAAAGTATCAACAATCAACTGTGTGGAAAAGTTTTAATAAACAAGGAACTAAGAAAGTCGTTCAGCATTCTAAGTACAGACCTTGCTTTGTGGATAAAGATTTAACTAGCAACTTATTTTGGGAAATTTCAGTAAAGCAACGCTGTCTTCTAAAAATAGATTTATTAGTCTACAGAGTATTCTATGTCAGACAGGGATTAATGAGGTATACCTTTGGTGGTACCAGAAACTCATCATCCCACCAGGCATGGGGCAAGTAAGTAACTTGCACAATCTGCACCCAGGCATGTTTAGTGAATAATGAATCAGGTCTGTAGTTTTACTGTGTATCTAGAGCAGTTTTCTTCTCAATTTGAAGACACTGAAAATGCTCTGCCAGATGAACTTAATTCAACAAAAGTTACAGTACTATTAAAGATAAATTCTAAAAACACTTAACAAAGCAATCCTTTTCTATTTGTTAAAAGACAGGTTTAATCTTTTTTGGGGACAGGTATATATATATCTTTGCTGTTTCCCCTCAATATACCTGGAAAATAAAATTATAAAAATTCCCACAATTCTAGGTAGTCTTATAATAGATTATTATTATTGCTCTTGTCATGATCAACAATCGGATTTTTTTTTTTTCCTTTTAAAGACAGACTTTATTTAAGAGCAGTTTTAGATTCACTGCAAAACTGAGGTGAAGATACAGAGATTTCCTATATTCTTGCTGCCTACATCAAGCATAGCCTCTTTCTACTGTCAACATCCTGGGCCAGATAGGCACATCCGTCACAACTGATGAACTTACATGGATACATCATCATCATTAGGAGCCCACAGTTTATATACAGACTGCTTTTGATATTATACAACCTATGGTTTTGACAAATTATGACATGTATCCCATTCTAGTATCAAACAGATTGTAATTTTTGAACGTCTAATAGTAAAATTTTTTAAAAATATAACTAAACAAAACATCAAAACTTTCACTCACTGGATAACTTTAAGCATAAAAGCTGAAAATATACCTACTATTTTATGCGGTTTTTGCCAACTTAAAAAAAAAAATTTCCCACTAGGAAAATGTATACAGTAAAGAACAAATTATTAATCAATAACAGAACATGACACGCTCTATATGTAAGCAACACTCTATAAGAAATATTTACTAGGTGAAATTTAAAAACAGACAGCACATTTCTATTCTTCAATCTTTTAAAAAACCAATTTCATGGATCAAGTTTTAAAGTCATAATAAAATACTCATAAGCATGCATACAGAGTTTCACATTTTACCTTTCTGTAGGAATCCTCTATCGTCGGGTCATATTTTTCAACAAAAATTCCCTGAACAAACTGAACTGTCTGAGGGGATGGAAACAGAAAAATTAAGGGCTTGGAAGAAATATTAAACCTCCTTGAATATTAATTAGCCTCAGAAAGTTCTAAATATTAAATGAAATTATGTTAAAATTCTGGGTAAATACACAAACACAAAGTATAATTATTATTTTCCACTATAAGGATGGATACATAACTAAGAGCACACTTATTAAAAAAAGATGGTCAAGTTAAAAATTTAACAATACTGCTGCAACTATTACACTGCTAAACAATTAACTATATTTAGTTTCAAAACAGATGATATAAATAAGATTCTAATTAATTAAAAAATTAAAATTCAATATTTAACCTATTACCTCTTTATATAATTATATAACTTTCATCCCTTGTTCTCAAGAGACAGAGAATGGTTCTAAATTTTTAAGTCATACCAATATGGGGAAAAAGAAAAGGGAATATAAATTTATTGAATATCTTTTATGTTCTAGGCTAGTCACTTTAAATTTATAATATCCAAGTTTACATTCACTCCCAAATAGTTATTTTTCCCATTTACTAGTAGAGACTCAAACGTACCATCTTCCTGATTCCAAAGTACTAATCTTCCTATTGGAAAACACTGCCTAACTCATCTTATTCAGACATTATCTACAGTAGTCCTCCCTTATCTCTGTTTTTTTTTATTACTACAACAGCAGTTACCTATAGTCAATCATGACCCAAAAACATTAAATGGAAAAATCACAGAAATAAATAATTCATAAGTTTTAAACATCATGCCATTCTGAATAGTGTGCTGAAGTCTCATGTCATATTGCTGTGTTCCACACAAGACATGAATCATCCCTTTGCCCACTGTATCTACACTGTATATCCTATCTTCCCATTCATAGTTACTTTGTAGCCATGTCAGTTATCAGATCAACTGCTGAAGTATCATAGCACTTGTGTTCAAATGACCCGTTTTATTTAATAAAAGCCCCAAAGCATAAAAGTAGTGATATCTGCAATTAGGATGTACCAAAGAAAAGCTGCAAAGTGTTTCTCTAAAGTAAAAAAGTGAAGTTTCTCTACTTAATAAAAGAAAAAAAACCCCACACAATTGTATCATACTTGTGTTTTTAAGTTATTGTTCTTAATCTCTTACTGTGCCTGATTTATAACAAACATTATCACAGCCATGCAGGTACAGGGAAAAACATAGTATAAATATTGGATTCAGTACTATCTGACATCCCCTGGGAGATTTGGAACCTATCCCCTGCAGATAAGGGGTGACTATGGTACTTTATCTCTAAAATTTCTATAAGCACGTTCTAGCAACAACACATTTTATCATTCAGTAAATGAAAAGAAGTAGAGAAGATGGTTGTGAGATATCTTCTAGGCAGCTTTAAAACAGGTCTGGTATATTACTGCCTAAAAGCAAAGGTAAACATGTAGACTGAGGTCATTTATAATTACTCAAAAGAAATATTTTCTACATTATTTGAGCTTGAGAAATATAGTAAACTTTGAACTTTTTTCTTCCTAAATTGCTATTATTCAAAGGGAATTCAAGATATAATCACACCAAAAATGATTATTAATCATCATTTTTTTTTTAAGAGAGAGAGAAAGAGAATTTTAATATTTATTTTTTTAGTTTTTGGCGGACACAACATCTTTGTTTGCATGTGGTGCTGAGGATTGAACCCGGGCTGCACGCATGCCAGGAGAGCGCGCTACCGCTTGAGCCACATCCCTAGCCCTATTAATCATCATTTTTAATTTTTTTTGCTACCGGGGATTGAAACTAGTGGCCATTTTAATTTTTTATTTTGAAACAGGATTTTGCTAATTTGCTTAGGGCCTTGCTAAGTTGCTGAGGCTAGCTTCGAATTTGTGATCCTCCTGCCTCAGCCTCCAAAGCCGCTGGTATTACAGGAATGTGCCACCGTGACCAACTTTAATCATCATTTTTATCAAAAATTTGATCACCTCATCTTTTTGGTATGATATGATTTAAATAATATTGATCTAGGGGAAAGGGTCCCTGAGGATCATACTATTTTCCTAATGATATTAAGAGGTACTCAAGAAACTGGAAAAAGAAGGCATGAAAACCTAACTCCCTCTATAAGTCAGACATTAATGAGACTTTCAAAAATGAAAAACAACCCCACATTTCTTACTTCTGAAAGTAAAGTTTCATTACTCTTCTAAAAATGAACAGGCTTTCATACTGGATCTTATGTAATCATTTTCCTCTCCACTGGATTACTGTCTCCAACATAAAAATACGCAAACATGTTCTACTACCTCAAGTCTCCAAATTAAACATAAGCCTTCCTTAACTTCATGATCCTGCCAGCTTCTGAATATTTTCTTCTCTGTAATAGTCAAATTTCTTTAGCTGTCTGCATAGTAGTTTCATTTCCTAGTTCTCAGTTTTGCGGGGTGGGGGTGGGGTAAATAGAGGAGTTGCCAGGGCTTCAACCCAGGGCCTTCCACATGCTAGACAAGTGTTCCACCTCTAAGATATACCCCTAGACCCCTCTCATTTGCTTAAAAAAATTTTTTTTTGAAGTTGTAGATGGACACAATACCTCAATTCCATTTATTTATTTATTTCTTCATTCATTTATTTATTTATATGTGGTGCTGAGGGTCAAACCCAGTGCCTCACACGTGCTAGGTAAGCATTCTAGCACTGAGCTACAATTCCAGTCCCTCATTTACTCTTTAACCCACCCCAATATGGTTATGACACCACTACCTATTATCATGTCTAACTATCTCCGTGTTCCCAGATCATTTATTTCCTTTTTTCAATCCTGACTTCTGAGTAGGTAAGGATACACTCTTTTACACTGAGGTACAGAACAAGATACTGTCTACACTAGCTCCCACAATCTTACTATTCTCTAAAGTTTGAGAAGTACACAGAGCTTAGTCCTGGGCTCTTCTCTCCCTGGTCTCTCCCTAGAGAACCTCATTCACTCCTATGGATTTTAAAAAAAGATCTTAGTCTACCTACCACCCTGTTCCCAACTACCCAATTCAATTCCTAAGAAGTAACTGATATTATCCATAGTTTATGTAATCTTGCAGAGATAGCGTACATATTTTATAGGTATCTCTCCTCAACCTTTACCTTTTTGTTGTTGTTGTTAAAATAAAACATAAATGGTAGTCTAAGCTGTTTGGTACCTTCTTATTTTTCCTTATCTAAATAATACATTTTAGATATCACTACATATCAGTATATGAAGAGCTGTTGCATTCCTTTAATTGGTGGGTGGTATTCTATGCTGACTATGTATTAAAATTTACTTAAGGATCCCTTACAGGTAGGCATTTAGTTTCTAAACGTTTGTCATTATCAAGAGTGTTGCAATGGATACCTTTGAACACATCATTTTGTCTATGTGAATCTTATGTGAGATAAATTTCTATAAAAGGAATTTCTGAATTGAAAGTTACATGTGCATTTGAAAACATAGATATTCTCAAACATTCCCACAGAGGTACTAATTTACACTCCAAATAATAATGTAATTCTCAAGAAATCAAATGACGCTGATATACTGATGGCACCCCAAAGTTTTTTTTTCTTTTTTTCTTTTTGGTACCAAGGATTGAACACAAGAGGGCTTAACCTCTGAGCCATATTCCCAGCCCTTTTTATACTTTATTTAGAGACAGGTTCTTGCTTGTTGCTAAGGGCCTCGCTAAGTTGCTGAGGCTGGCTTTGAACTCATGATTCTCTTGCCTCAGCTTCCTGAGCTGCTTCGATTACAGACACGAGCCACTGCATACGGCAAAGGCTTCTTTTTTAAGCTCTTATTTTTAAGATCCATTTGTTTATTTGATGTATTTACTTGAACGTCTCACAAACTTAAAATGTATCATGACTATTTCTTTTCTTCTAGTTCTCATATCAATCCAGCACAAAATTATGTCAGTTCTACTTCCTATTTAATACTCAAATCATCTATGTATCTTTTCTTCACACCATAGCTCCAATCCTAAGCTTTGCAAGCAATAACCTAATATACTTAATTAGTTTCCAATTTTATCCCAAATCCATTCTGAATCTCCTCAAAGTTATGGTGACCAGTCAAAATGCACTCATTCAAACATATCCATTCAAATAACTGCCCTTTTTCCACAAAAAAAAAACACAACTCTGTCTTCAATGTTTTCTCACTGTTATCAGAAGTAAACTCCAAGTTCTTACACAGTTTTCAAATCATGATCTGGCCTTTGCCTACCTATTACCTCATTTCCTTCTACTCCTCCCTATTCACTCCTGCTCCAACTATACTGACCCTTCTCTCAGTTGTTCAAATGTTTAGATACACTTATGACATGCTCTCCTTTAACACTCTTCTTTCAGAACACCTCTCCCACAACTATAATCAAGCAACTCTTTGTTTAACTGTGTATTTATTATCTTTAATGAATGTTCTAAGAGAGACTGTGGCTGTTTTGGTTTACTGTTAGGACCCCCGAGTCTGACACTGTGGGAAGCTCAATAATTATTTACTGAGTGAATAAGCATGTATGCAAAATATAAATTTCATTCTACATAAGTTTGGGGTGGAGCCAGAGGAGGACTTACTCCATTACAATCTTTAATAAACAATTTCCTCCAATGGGATGTAAATTCTTAAAAATAAAAACAATCCTATTCATTTCTGAATCATGAAATTGGAGCTTAATATATAAAGTATCTGATAAATGTTTGGTAAATAAAAAATAATAAAAATATGACCAATCAATATAAAACCACACATCTTTGGTTAATTCCCTGTCTCTTGTTGGATAGATACTAGGTATGTAAAATATGCCACCTTTTCCCCTTTGTGATTTTAAGTATGAAAATAAGCAAATGCCAAACTTCTGCTTTTATTATACTAATTGGTATAGTTAGGTGGCTAACTTACCAGAGCAGACTTCCCCACGCCTCCTGAACCAAGGACCACTAGCTTGTACTCACGCATGATGTGGTCTGTTTAAATACTGACAATCTGGAAAAAAAAAAAAACAACACACAAATAATTTTAAAAATTAACAAATATGCTAAGAACAGTGATTTTGTTTTGTTTTGCTATTTTTTCCCCTTAATACCATTCAAGAACTTTTGTAGATTTTAGCTAGGTTTTCACAACAATAGCCAGACATTTTAATTCATGAAGATCATCAGTTATAAACCTCTTCATGTTACTTCTAAGAGTGACCAGAAAATAATAAGATTAAGACCAGTAGTTGAGGCCAGGTGTGGTGATACGCCTATAATTGTAGGTACTTGGGAAGCTGGGGCAGGAAGATTCCAATTGAAGACCAGCATGGCAACTTAGCAAGATCCTGTCTCAGAATGTAAAAGGGCTGGTGATGTAGCTCAGTCAAGTGCTTGCCTAGCATTTGCAAGGACCTGGGTTCAATCCCCACCACCACAACAAAACAAAACAAAACACCCAATAGTTGTGTTATAACTATAATCATGAATCCAATTCTTTTTAAAGCCATAACTTAAACCATCTATGTACTTTCTTGAAACAGTCACTCATGAGCTTTAATATAAAGTATATGCTATTTGCCTGCACATCAGACAGTAATTTTATATCATATTATAGCTAAACCATGTAAAATGTCATCTTGAAAATTATTAGGATAGAAATACGATAGATCAGATGAAACTGTTACATTTATCAGCAGGTGTTAATAATATACTTAAGGCTCAAAAGGCTGCAGAAAATAAAAGGAACATAAACTTTATTTTTTTTATCTTCATGGCTATACTAAAAGATTAAAAAGACAGTAAATAATTTCCAGTGGCCTTGGTGGAGTAACAAGGATCACACTTTTCATTCCATAGTAAACAGCTAGAACACTTGGCCATAATAATCAAATTCCTAAAAAAAGATAGCAAAGAGAGAGAGAAATAAAGATCTTTTAAGTTTTTTAAGATAAAAAGTTTAGAAAAGAACAAAGTTTAGTTAGGAACAAAGTTAAACTAATATGTATCCCTGAATAAAAGTCAAAAAGAAGCAGGGCATGGTGGTGCATGCCTGTAATCCCAGCAGCTCAGGAGGCTGAGTCAAGAGGATCACAAGTTCAAAGCCAGCTGCAGCAACTTAGGCCCTAAGTAACTTAGTGAGGCCCCATCTCAAAATAGAAACTAAAAAGGGCTGCAGATATGGCTCAGTGGTTAAGAGGCCCAGGGTAAAAAAAAAAAAAGGCAAAAAGAAAAGTATATAATCATTGTCAATCTTTGACATATATAAAAAAAAGAAAAAATCATAACGCTTTATACATCAGGCATTAAACTCACCCCAGACAGTACAGCCTCAGACCTCTTGATGAAGCTGCAGAATCCCCTGCTCCAGAGAGTAGGATGTTTAGTGCTATGCTGGGGTGAGTGTTCAGTAGCTTACTGCATTGGAAAGGGTAACTGAGAACAATCCCGATGTGAGGAACCTATATTCTGAAGTATTTAGTCAAAGTTCAAGGACAGTGAACCTTGAATCAGCATACCAACTCTAAGGCTTCTGTTCATTCACTGCCAAAGTATGAAACAAACGAAGAAGATCTCTCTTCAAACTTAAAAATGTGCCTCAGAAATTGAAGCCTTTTGATTAAGTATGTGAGGTGATGGATATATTAATTAGCTTGATTTAATCATTCCATGATGTGTTCATATACCAAAACACCACAGTGTACCCCACAAGTAGATACAATTACATTTCAATTTTAAAAAGATAGAGATTGATGAGCTGCAGGTGTGGCTCAGTGCATGCTTAGCATATGTGAGGTCATGCGCCATTCTAGCAGCATTAAAAAAAAAAAGTGAAAAGGAAAGAGACGACGATAAACAAAAATACAGACTTCTTGGAAAGCCATTAAGACAGAAAAAAATGGACCATCTTTAAGATATGGAAAAAACAGTCAATATAGAAAGCTAAATAAATACAATGACTATATTCTTCAGGAATCAAAGTAAAATAAAGATTTTTTTTTTTTTAGATTCCTTCCTTAAAAATAAAGAAAAAGGAGAAATAAATTCATCAGCAAACTTAAATGGTGAATGAGAATAAATCTCAATGATTCAATAATCACTTAAACTTTATGCAAACAAATTGGAAAGTCTAGAGAAAAGAGTCAAATTTCTGGACAAAATTAAACCAAGAGGATATTAAAAAAAAACTCTAAATAAGCCAATAACTAGTAATAAGATTCAATCAGTAATAAAAATTCTCCAAGGAAAAGCCCAGGACCAAATGTCATCACAGCTGAATTTTACCAAAATTTAAAGAAGAATGAATACCAATGCTCCTCAATCTCTTCCATAAAACAGAAAGGGAAGGAAACTTTACAAACTTGCTCTACAAAGCCAGCATGACTCTGCTACCAAGACCTGACAAGGAAACAAGAAAACTATACAATAATATCCCCACTGAATACAGATGCAAAAATTCAACAATACTTGTAAATTGAATTCAACAGCACATTAAAAAGATCATATACAAAGATCAAGCTGGTTTCATTCCAATGATGCTAGTTCAACATATGCAAATCAATAAACATAATACATCATTTAATAGAATCAAGGATAAAAATCCGATGAGCATCTCAATATATGTAGAAAAAGTGATAAAATTCAACATTCCTTCATGATTAAAAAGCCCTGAGTAATTTAAACAGGTCATACCTCATCATAATAAAGGCCATATAAGACAAACCTGGAGCCAACATCATTCTGAATGGGGAAAAACTGAAAGTACTCCTCAAAGATCAGGTACAAGACCAGGGTGTCTACTCTTACCATTCATATTCAATGGAGTACTAGAAATTTTAGCCAGAGAAATTATGCAAGAGAAAGAAACAAAATGTATACAAATAAGTAATGAGGAAGTAAAATAAAACCTGTTTGCAGATAAGACTGATGTAACCATTAAAGAAATAAGAGACGTGACTCAACAGCTGAAATAAAATATTTTAAAAATTAAAAGAAACTTAAAAATACTTCAATTCAAAGTAAGAAAAAATGCAAACAAGACTAAAACCAAATACATAATTGCATCAATGCAAACCATCCAAACACTCCCAATTCAAAGGCAAGATAAAAAAGCAAGACCTAACTACATGTCCCTTCAAGAAACAAACTTCTGAATAAGAATATAGGGAAAGTTAAGAGTAAGATTTACTAGTGACAAAGTTGCTGCTAATATTATTCCTGTAGTTTGTTGCCTGCATTCAATATAAAAGGAAATATCAAATTTCATTCAGAGGTTAAGGGGGAAAAAAAGTGTGTGTGTGTGTGTTTTTAATACAAGTGCTGGGGATTTTAGATTAAGAATCTTTACCTATTTTAGGCAGTTATTAGCATTTTAGGTTACTCTAGTCTGACTATTCTCAAACAGGTTTCAGGTCTTCTTCATGCTCCTTCTTCTTCTTCTTCTTTTAGTTGAAGTTGGACACAATACCTCTAGTTTATTTGTTTTTATGTGGTGTTGAGGATCGAACTCAGCCACGTGCTAGGTGAGCGCTGTACCACAACCCCAGCCCCTATTCTTACATTCAAGAGTGTTAGTATTTAATATAGGTCCTCAGGAATGAATGGATTTTTTTTCAAGTGCTTTCTTTGTTCTTACTCTATATGTCTATTCTAAAGTAGAAGGGCATGGCAGAGGAAAGCTGCTCAGCTCATGACAACAAGGAAGGGGGGGAGGGGGGAGAGGCACAATATCACACTAAACCAGGCATAATAGGTTCTAGCCTATGCAAAAGGAAGAAGTAAAACTGTTCTTTATTCATAGATGACATGATGCTGTATGCTGAAAATTCTAAGGAATATACAAAGAAGTTGTCAGACTGATAAATGAATTTAGCAAAGTTGCAGGATAAAAGGTTGATACAAAAATAAAAGAGCAACTGAATATCTATATATCAAAGAACTGAAAAATGAGATTAAAAAATAATATAATTTACAAAAGCATCCAATAAGAAATAAACTACTTACAAATGAATTTAACAAACTATGGGCAAGGCGCGTGCGCACACACACACAAACACACACAAAACAAGGCTGAAAGAAATTAAAGACCTAAAGACAGATATGCTATATTATGTTAAGACATGCCTATATTGTTAAGATGTCAATTCTCTTTGTGTTGATCTACAAATTCCATGCAATCCCAATCAGCAGATTTCATTTTTTGTGTAGAAACTTACAAGGTAACAATTATGGTTTATACCTGGATTGTCCCCCAAAGGCCCATTTCGAAAGCTGACCTCAAAAGCATCAGTGTTCACAGATGAGGTTCATGGGCGGTAACTGGATTGTGAGGACTCTGACCTCATCCATAAGAGGGATTTATAATTTGAGTGGACTAGTGGGAGGTGGTAGAAGGGAATGGGTTCCTGGGAACATGCCCTTGGGGACTATATCTTGTCCCCAGCTCCCCACCTACACCAACCCCCCCCCCCCCCCCCCGTTGGTATGCCTCTCCCCCTCCCCTCCCTTCCTTGTTGTCATGAGCTGAGCAGCTTTCCTCTGCCATGCCCTTCTACTATGATGCTCTACCTCATTTCAGGCCCAAAACGATGAAGCCAGCTGACCATGGGCTGAAACCATATGCCAAAAGAAATCTTTCTTTCTTTAAGTGGTTCATGTCAGGTATTCTGGTCACAACAATGAAATGCCGACTAACACAGTGATTGACTTTTGTATAAAAAAGCAAGTTACCTCAAAAAGCAAGAAACTGAATAACCAACATGTTATGAAAAAGAACAAAATATTACACTGCCTTCAAGATTTATATAAAGGTAAATATAGTATGATATTAGCATAATGAAAAACAGATTAGTAGAACCAAATTACATCCATGAGTAGAACCATGCACATATATTCATTCATTTTTAAATAAAAGGACTGTATTATTCATCCTCCAAAATGGTCCCCAATTGTCTCAACCTCCACCTTCTGTAGTTCCCTCTCAAACTGAATCAAGATTGGATGGGGTGAGCA